CCGTCGCCGCCGCCGCCGCCGCCGCCGCCAAGGGAATGCGCCAGGGAGGGTGTGAGCCGGTTGAGAATGGTCAGCCCTTCATCCCCAAGCTCACGTTTATGGACCATGGCTTGGACGTTGCTGCGGGTGGGTCGGGGTTATGGGGTTATGTCATGGGATTGGTTTCGGAGCCGCGGCACAGATCAAGGGAGGCCCTCCATGGCTCAGATCGTTAACGGCACCTTGGGGCCTGAACAGGAAACCCCCCTAATCGGTGGGCAGGAGTGCAGTGCCGGAGTCCCAAAGCTCACTGCTCTTTGATCCGAAACCCAGAACTCCGTACACTGGATCCGCTACAACGGGTACATGATCTGGATCCAATAAAACGCATCCTCTCCACCAGTTACGGTATCATAGATCCAGAATCTTCACGTCAGATATCCCTCTAACAACTCAGTTCACATCTAGAATATAATAGGATATTTCTCTACCTATATCTGAAATAAAAAGATTCAAAAATTCAAAGTGCAACACCCACCCTAAATCAACGAGGAATACATCTCCATTGGCGCTCCGGCACACAATATTGGGCAAGCTGACCAGGCGGTTTCGGAGCCGCTCGTCCTCGATCAGTTTTGTTTCCGACGGTAGCAACGCCGCAGCGGACGCGCTTCCGCCGCCGCCGCCGCCCCCACCGCTGGCCGCGCCGCCAAACTCGTCCTCGAGCGAAACCATGCCAGCGCCATCGCCGCCATTGCTGGCACCTCGGACGCTTGGCGGCAAGGGCAAACTACCGAGGCTGCCGACGGCGGTGGCGGTGGCGGAGCCCGGCGGCGGCGGAGCCGCCGCCGCCACCGTCGACGCCGGCGTACCACCGCGACCGCCGCTACCGCTGCTCCCAGCAGCAAGCGCCGCCGCCGCGGCAGCGGCGGCGGCGGGCCCAATGCCTGGCGGCGCAATGGTCCCGTTCCCAGTCGCTGTGTATGCAATCCCGGCGGCGGTGAGAGTCTGCCCCGCGGAGATGGCGAACAGGGCGGCGGCGGTGACGGCGGTGTTCGTGACGCTGGCGCGGATGTGCGACGCCGTCAGGGGTCCGGCGACGGTGGCGCCCGCGATGAAGGCTGGCGAGGAGACGGCCCCATTGAGACTGACGTTCTGGCGGACTGCGAGGAGCTGGCTGCCGGGGCGGCTGTCGGGCTGATGGTGCCGCGGGGGGCGGAAGGTGTTAGACGGCGAGGCGGGGAGACTGCTGGGACGCGGCTTGGTGTTGATATCCGGGAGCCGAGTGACTGTGACCCAGATGGGGTTCGGGGCCGGGGGGAGGGGGGGAGGGGGAAGAGGGGGGAGAGGGGGGGGAAGGGGGGGGAAGGGGGGGTTAGGGAAAGGGAGGCACCTGGTGCGTGTGGGGCGACTAGGGAGGTCATCAGGAGCGTGTGTGTTTTGGTTCTCGTAAAACCTTGGCCGTGTAAAGAAAAGGAAAACCCCCAACCGCCAAACCCCCAACCGCCAAGCCCCCGATAGCAGACAGCAGACATCACCCCGGTCTAGTGGCGCAGAGGGCGGCTATTCCCGGATGTATTCCCCAGGAGCTCCGTACACTGACTTCGCCGTACACGGTCGTGCCGTAGTTGGTCGTCGCAACTGACAGATGTTTTTATGTGCGTGCGTCTGTGTGTATCTTAGAGTGTATGTGTGTGTGCGTGTATGTGTGTGTGTGTGCGTTGGGGGGAAATAGGGGTGAAACACTCAGGCTCCCCCGTTCCCATCCCTTCAATCTTGCTTCCTACATCCCCGGCATAAGGCCCAGGAATGCACCCTCCCAAAGTTCAATACCCGCCGGCCCCAACCCACTCCACCTCAGCCGTACTAGCCATAACCCAGGACGGAGCTTCTCCCCCCGGTTGCCTTATGCCCGTCCCATTACCCGGCGGTTTTTTCCCCGACATCATCCTCCCATCCTCCCATTCACGTAACCTCATTCACGGCTTCCAGCCATCCATCTATCCAGCTACTCCAGCTTTACCGCCTCTATCACCCTCCCTCTTTATAACTAGTTAGATTCGGTAGTTCGGAGCTTGCCCTTGTGTTGCGTGGTGTAGATCAGTTATAAGAATAGTGAAATTGGTATTAATTTGACCTGCGCCATCCTGCGTCAACCTAAGCAAAGTACGCTTCGTTGAATGCGACTTCGGGTTGCAGGTGCAGCGACCTGCTTTCTTACGCCTTCCCCCTTTCCCTACAGGGCCTGCATCCACTCCCCTCTTACTCCCCATCCAAAACGTGAATGCACCGGCAAGTCCGATGTGGGCAGTTGGACAGGGGGGTACCCACAATTGCTGGGTCCCTGGCGACTTGGGGATCCCGGCTCCTGCTGGGAACGAGGTTGCTTGCGCCGCTGCTGGTTCTTTTGCTGTCGTTGCAACTTTGATTGATTACCCGTTAGTGTCGGTGATGACGTAGACGGTTCGTCCTTTACCAGCTCTCCTCGGAGGCCGACTTCAGCTTCTCGCCACATGGTAACGACGTCCGGAGAGATGTCCCGGACGAGCCGCGAAAAGTTCCCCATAGAGTTGTATCTGTTTAGCATGGTTTGGGACTCCTGTGGCGTTGGGCTCGTCTCCGGCTCGTCGGGTAAATGTACCGACTTCTTGGGTGATCCCATCCTTTCCGGGAGGTTTGCCATTATATTTTGTTCGATTCAGATTATTCATACAAGATAATAAAGTACTGAAAGGTGTTAGCTTGGGTGGCTTAGAAGACTTCGGGAAGGCGATAAAAGCGTGTTGATGTGAGAACGCATTTTGATATGACTGATTTTGTTGTGCACTCATAATGATGTGGCAAAAGCAAGTGCGTCGTCGCTTTGCTTGAAAGCTTGGAAGTGGTTTGACGTACAGTTTGTGTCGTTGGAGAAGAAACCCGTTACCGGTTGACTTCCCATCAGTGGATCAATTGGAATGGTTTGCAAATTGGACTAGAATCAAAGTTGATTGCAAATAGGACTAATTTCATTGCTTTGGCGTCCTAGGTGTAAGTGCCAAAATGTTTGTTCGGCGCATTATTGATCACATCCTGAACCAGGTTCTTGTTGAAGGCCTCGCGAACAGGTGGGAGCTGCCAACTATGTCCCCTGCGTATCGACTAAATCGATAACCACTTTCTGCTTCCCCATCACAGTCGCTGGTTCCAGAGGTTCGCCGTATGGTCACACAATGCTATGAAGGAGCTTCAAGCCAAGAGCAAGGACCATTCAGGGACTCTGGACACACACGTAAGCCCTGTCCAAATCTGACCGCTCCTTGACGGCGTCCTGATTCTTGCCTTACGTGTTGATATTGTTCAACACAACAGGTCTCGAGTTTCATGGAGATCGCTAAGCAAAAATCGGCGCAGGTGTGGTGCTAGGGTCAAGGGGCCGGGGGTTTTGGAACGGATGGCGGCGATATGTTGCGCGATTGACACCTTTGATGCTCCAAGCGTCTCTGCACCTTTCAGTCACCCCACGATCGGGCCCTCGGTAGCGTTTTCATAATGAAAGGCCAGGAATGCGAGACACGGCTCGCCTGGTGGCGCAGCGGCGAGAAAAGATGCTCAACTGAAAATCGGGTGTGTGCCACTACACCACGCATCGTCGCACCGACCCGGGTTGTACCTCTCAGTTGTACAGCCAGAAGTAGTGGTGGATAACAGCGCAGACCCGGCCAGACCGGGGGCGGCAGGTAGAAGGAAGGTGGTGCCGTCCGGCTTATCTCATCCTCTGACTCCTTCCGGAACAGCAGCAGCCTGTGCAATGCTCTTAGCACACACCCTTGCTGCTGGCCGTTCCTCTTCTCGTTCCCGCCAATCCCTAACCCCGGTCCTGCCAGGTCCTGTCAGGTCTTTCTTTGCACCCCCGCCCCGAAAAAAAACTCCTCACGCCCCTTGCTCCGGAACCACCTCGTTCTCCTGCCCGACAGCTCCGCCAAGAGTTTCAGGAGGAGCTTCGAAAAGTCCAGCAACAGCAGCAACAGATGAAGCGCTGAGAGGGTATGGGGGGATGATAATGATGATAATGATGATGATTGTATTGGTGAGTGAAGCATGGGGCGAGAGGAATCGTAGCTGCAGGAGGTGGCGAGGACTGGGTGAATGGTTATACGGCCTAGATCTGTCTGCGGCCTCGAATGGCCTCGGACATCGCCGGGCCAAGGGCCGCTGCCGGGGGCCTGCTGGGGGACCTGGGCTGGCCTCGGCTGGGGGGGATACTTTTTGAAGTAATGATGGTAAAGGCTTCCAGACTGGTGGATGAATGGATGGATGCGAACGGCGGCTTGGCTGCAGAGCGCTGCGGACATGACTTGAGGACTCAGGGGCTGCTGGCACGGTGTTGTGTCGACGGGATAGCTTCTTTTTCATCTTTTGAGCCGCGTTTTGCTCCTCCATTCTCGGTCATCGATCATCGATCATCGCACAACGTCGCAATCTTCTTTCCCCGATCGACCACCAGACAATTGGACAACTGACGCGCAGTAGCGCAGTGTGGAAGGAGAGCAAAGCCATATCACCCGATTCAGGCCGTTTCTAGACTTGCCATTCCAGATCTCTAAAATGTAGGAGACCTGTGGTGAAGTAAGACAGAGTTTATGCTTCGCGATGGGGAAAAGGTGCAGCAGACGAGGACCGTGTGTGTTTTGGACCCCTCCCCCGCGCCCAGGCTATGGGTGGGATCTGTAAGGTCTGCAACGAACTGCAAAGCCGCAATTGCAACCGCAAGCCGCCGCTCCTGCGGCGATGGTTACGCAGGGCCCAGTCGGTGCCAGACGAGCTGCTCCTGGTGGTGGTGGTGGTGGTGGTGCGCTACACCAGTAGCGTACACTTTTAACCGATCCTGGTGCTCTGCGTTTTCATTTATTTCTGGACGTTGAGTTTCTTAACCGCGTCATGTAAACTGTCATCGCCTCTCGGTTGTAGGGACGCAACGGCGGGGTGGTTGCGTGGAAATTGTTGTACGGAGGATTGGTTGTAAGGATGTTCGTATCATGGGTGGGAATATGGTCAAAGGACTTTTTGCGCGTGGCAAGCTCCTTGCAGCAGTGTGGGATAGCAGTGTGGGATAGCAGCAGTGGTAATGGTAGTAGTCGCAACTGCAAGAATTTAATGTGGTAGGGTACTGTGGTGTGGTTGTTGTGGCGGAGGGTTCTCTGTGTGACGGTACGGTCTCAGTGTTATCACAGTCCGTTGCTGCCACCACACGGTAGGCCTCCTCCTACTCTGTTGCAGCCGATTGTGGTAACATGTATTAGATTTTATGGAGCTGTTCGTGCTTCATTCGGCAGCTGATTGGTGTTTTTGTGTGTTGTGTGCATCCGCATCCGCATGTATGTATGTATTTTTGTTCGCGCGAATGAGGGAAGCGCACAGTCTAAGTGTTTCAGGCATGGCAGCAGGGATGTGCCTGATTAGGCAACAACGCAGGGGGCCAGCGCATCGTACTCGTATGGTTAGCAAGTGCAGGGGGTTAATTGCTGTACAATGGGTGAAGCAGTAGGGGGCCAGCGCCGGATGCACGTATCGTCGTGCCCTGTGCACTTTCACGGCTGGTGAGTATGCCGTCTTGGTGGGTAAGGTACGGTATGGTACGGTACGGAAACCCTTACCAGTTGTGTAATGAAATTCGAATATCCTATTCGAATAATTCGAATAGGATGGGGGACCTGACGAATCACACCAGGAAGGGAAGGGGTTGATGATATCGCACACAGCACAGATCACACAGTGCAGTGCGGATTAGGGGCAGGGGAAGAGCAATGTGCGCGTCTACAAGTGCGTCCTTGCGAATATAAACGATGTACCTCCAATGTCTGTTTGTATGTATGTAAGTTTTATGTTTAGTGAGCTCATGACCGGGGTGGGCGCATACCTGTCAACTGCTCAAGGGTGACCTACCCTTTAAAACGTCCAGTTCGGTAGCCCTGATCAACTCTTAATGCCAAGCCGCGAAGCATTAAACAACCCCTTACTGTCGACCAAGTCGGAGGAAATAGAAGCACCTCCAGCGCCCTTCACGCTCCAAATTCACACCCGGGGAGACGCTACGGTGGAGGATAGCTCCGCTGGAAGCGCTAACAGTTCACAGCTGGTCGTACTGTCGACAATATTCATAGTAGCGAAATGAGTTCGGGGTTGGGTGGGCGGACAACTGTTCTCGTTGAATGGTTGTTCTCGTTGAATGGTTGGTTGTGTGGCGGGGGGGCCGTGGATGACCCAAGAGTGCGTCTCTCACTTCGAAACCAGCCGGCGAGGCGGTCTTACTCAACTCTCCTCGCCTGGTTTCGTCAGGATTGTTCATCTGATGCAACCTTTTTTAAAGCAAGGGAGCTCCCCTGTTTAGGAGCGTATCCCAGCCCTAGGCCTTTCCCGCACAGCAGCAGCAGCAGCACGTCCTGGACAGCCGGAAATTCCCAGACACCAAATCAAGGATTGTTAAATCCACAAGCAAGCGCTGTACCCCTCACACACCCTGGATGCACTCCGCCGTCACGTTGGGGGATGCAGGTATGTGGAAGTCCAAAAGAAAAGAGCCGATACGGACAAGCCCGGTTAGGATGATGCAGCTGTCGGTTCGTTGTTTATGTTTTGCCACGCAGGCCTGGTACTCGTGAAGGATGGGTTTATTCTTGATAAAGGAGACGGTTAGGATTGGGGTGGCTGGGGCAATTTGTTGGTGGGAAACGTCCATGGCACATGTGGGAAGCTCCCCCGCAGACGGGGACGTGCGGCAACGCGCTGAGTATAGTCTGCATGACCTCCAAAAACCTAAAACCTAATCCGGTTGACTTTTAAAGACACTGAGGACAAGATTTTGTGGCACGCATTCCCATGAAGATGGCGCCCGCACATAATCTTGCCTGGCCACGAAAGGTAAATGCTATTAGCAACAAACAAATTTGTCGGGCTTACCCCTTAACTCAAAGCTGTAATAAACCAGTTATGCTACTTTGCTAACCGTAACTGTAGCCTCGGGGAAAACCTTTAACTCTCGCGGTAGTCCATGCACCCAAAGAGCAATGAAGGACCATTATTTTGCTATCGTTTTGAAGTCCGTTCAGGCTCCTGCTGGTAAGTCCAGACCGGCAATTGATAAGTCCAAAGTCTGTTGTCCTGTCACTGATATAGGCAGTACCAGAGCTGAATGAATTATTTTAAATAACCATTACGCAGGAGATGTGCAAGCGAGTTCTCGGTTGGGTGATGAGGCAAATCTCATAAAAATCCCGGACTATCCCGGTAACGGCCACATAGCTCAATATCCGACAACGCCCTTTCAGATGTGTAGATGATCAAAATTGTTCTAATTTCATGCAGGATTGTGCCCCGAGAGCCCTAACCGTTTATTATGTGCATGACAGCGTAGGACAGTACACAAGTACCGGTCGACATAAGGCCCACGTCGACAGCTGCTGAACGCTTTTTAAACCCTCCGACATACCTTTAGTCCGCAAGAAGCGTTGATCTTAAACTGTTCTTCTCAACTGCGACATATTATAGAGTGGAAGTTACGCGCTAGGTAACTAGCCTCAAATTTGCGGACGGACATAGCGGAGAATCTGACCTCAGCTTGAAGGTAATTGAGAATGTCGACCATCCGCCGCATCTTTCCCTTCAGCCGGGGCAACAGTGATGGCGACAAGAGCATGAAGGAGCTGGTGAGTGGGCGTTGCTTGCCACTTTACTTTACGTGACTGGGCAACGGAACCTCTTAAATCCTGGATGGATATTAATGAATTGATTCATGATTGGATTTCTAGTTGCGTCAACTGTTTCGTGCCACACTTAAATTGGGTCAAGCGGTTAGTCGTCGAAAGACCACGGACTCACGGACACAGGATAGCCCGAAGCTACCGTAACATGAAAATGGACATAATTATGTCCAAGAGACACAATCATTTCGACTACTGCTGTGTCGGAGCTTGACGAAGCTTTCTTGCGTGCAAGCATGGCTCTGGCGTCCCTTCCTTCAAAGGTTTCTTCCTCCAATACCGCATCCCGCCATGCGTGATGACCTGCAGCTTGGTGGCAAGGGAGCTAATCTGTGTGAGATGGCACGATGTGGCCTCAACGTTCCTCCTGGGTTCACTATTACGACCGAGGTTTGCCAGGAGTTCTACCGTTGCGGTAAGACACGAGTATTTTGTTATTATGCTCGCCTTACCGCCAATGAAATTTATTGAAATTTGCCTTCGCTACGAGGTTTTTATATGGTTGGGATGTCAGTTGGATGTCGGTGCTTGTTGGAACAAGTTGCCTTCAGTCGTGTTGCCTTCAATCGATAAAATTTATGGATCAAGGTTTGTATGGTCTGTATTATTGGTATTCTAGTGCTGCACTTCCACTTTCGTCACAGACTGTGCACTACTTGCGCTGACCTACTGAATTGCAACGCGGACACTTACTTGAGGGTGGCTTTCCTTGCGCCACAATATAATATTTTCCTTTTTAACAATGACGTCGAGGATGTTCCCAGGACCATATTTCAATGATTAGTACTTTCCGGCCTTTTACCGTCCCAGCGTCCCAGTTGAATTTAACAGACCGACGAAATCAACCAACGCTACTACCTCCTTTCCTTACTCAGCCGAGAAGCTGCCCGAGGAGCTTCTGGCCGAGGTTCGGAATGCGGTCGCTGGCGTTGAGGCCGAGATGGGCCTAAAGTTCGGAGACCCCGCTTCGCCGCTGCTCTTCTCCGTTCGCTCTGGCGCTGCGGTGAGATTGCGATTATTCCTTGCCTTAACAGCGTCTAAAACGTAGATATTATGAATTGCGAATTATCTTAAATTGGCGATGCTATGACATAACCAGACTGACACAGCAACGTGGTTTGCCCTCTGCTGCCGTCAGCCTATCCGGCATAAGTTCCCTTGCTGCTACCTTTGCGCTGCTTAATCAATTGAAAAATCATTTTCAGGTGTCCATGCCGGGCATGATGGACACCGTGCTCAATTTGGGTCTCAACGATGAGGTTGTGGTTGGCTTCGCCGCCAAATACGGCGACCGCTTTGCCTTCGATTGCTACAGGTGCGACAGCGACAAGATGCGATTGTCTTGTTGTTCATTTGTGTTATCTGCTGTATTCTTGGCCAGCTTGTAAAAACTCCCAAGCTTCAAGCCTCTTGCGCAGCTATCTTCCAACTTGGCCCTTTCTTCCACACAAAATATCTCATATCCTCACATAACTCAACGCGGTATTCCTATTCATCCGCCCGTTTTGACGCAGCTTCTATTCTTAAAAGTTGACATGGTTTCCCCTGCCTGGTGCCGTACAGGCGTCTGCTGCAGATGTTCGGTGATGTCGTACTGGGTATCCCCCATGAGGACTTTGAAGCCAAGTTGACGGCACTCAAGGCCGCTCGCGGCATTCAGTACGACGTGCAGTTGGATGCCAACGATCTCCGAAGCCTGGTTGCCCAGTACAAGGAGGTGTACGAGGCCAACGGCAAAGAGCTGCCCCAGGACCCCTGGGAACAGATGTTCATGGGCATCAATGCCGTATTTAAGTAAGTTGGTCACAATACAGATTATTTTGAGTTCTGTCTAATACAGATTACATGAATCTGAATAAAGTCTTCGGATATAAAGCTGTCGGATATAATTCGGATATAAATTCGACCACCAGCTACAAAGCATCGTTTACATGTGTTCTTAGAGCTTGCTGCACGGTAACGTGAATAGCCAAAGGCCGCAGGTGCTGCCGCAGGTAATAGTTAAATAGATAAATAACTCCGTCTCGCATCGGCATATGATGTTTTCAGGTCCTGGAACATTCCTCGCGCCATCAAGTACCGGGAGATTAACAAGATCACCGGGCTGAGGGGCACCGCCGTCAATGTGCAGACCATGGTGTACGGCAACATGGGCGACACCAGCGGCACGGGTGTGTGTTTCACTCGCAACCCCGCCAACGGCGACCGGGAGCTCTTTGGCGAGTTCCTTATCAACGCGCAGGGCGAGGATGTGGTCGCCGGCATCCGTACGCCCATGCCCATCAAGCTCATGGCCGATATCATGCCGGGGATTTACGCTGAGCTGGCCGCGAATACGACGATGCTAGAGAAGCACATGAAGGACATGCAGGATGTCGAGTTTACTGTGCAGGAAGGCAGACTGTTCATGCTGCAGTGCCGCAACGGCAAGCGTACGGGTACGGCAGCGCTCCGGATTGCTCTGGATCTCGAGGCGGAAGGTCTCATAAACAAGGATGAAGCAGTGCTGATGGTGGAGCCGCGCCACTTGGATCAGTTGCTGCACCCGCAGTTCGAGGATGAGAAGAAGTACGTCAAGGACGTCATTACACGCGGCTTGGCGGCATCGCCAGGTGCGTCTCCTTTAAATTACAACAGCCGCTGGATTCAAAAATCATAGGAAAAAAACTATACTTATTTTTAAGAAAATCACGTAAACTCAATTGTTTTTGGTCGATGTCTTGCCCGTTGAAAATGGTCCTCCTAAAATGGAATCCTGGAATGTTTGGATCTGGTTGTGTTGTTTTGATCAGCTCGTTTGCCCTCGATTGCTTGTTTTGTTAACAAAAAATATCCTGGTAGGCGCTGCGGTGGGCCGCCTGGTCTTCTCCGCGGAGGACGCTGAGGAGTGGAAGGCGCGTGGTGAGCGCGTCATCTTGTGCAGACATGAGACCTCCCCCGAGGATGTGGGCGGTATGCACGCGTCCGAGGGCATTTTGACCTGCCGTGGAGGCATGACGAGTCACGCCGCGGTGGTGGCGCGCGGCTGGGGCAAGCCCTGCGTTTGCGGTTGCGAGGCCCTGCACATAGACCTGAAGTCCAAGGTATGAGTTTGGGTATTTGGGAGTCGGCGGAGAAGTTAAAATGACCGACATATGAGCCTTGCGGGACACAGTGAATGGCGAGATCGTCATATTGTCTGTCGGTGATGTGGTCCGATGCTGTATTCTTCACGCGACGTGGAAAGCGCCACAACTTAAGGGTTCCTGTTGCAGGGTTGCGATAGGTCTGCTAGGCTTTTTGACATTGTGTAACAGATACAAATACTTGTAATGCCGTCCATCACCTGCTGGCACCTTTGCTATTTTCAGTTTACAACAACATTTACAGTTGTCGTGTATTTTATTGTCATCGCACTCTGATCTTGTTTATTTTCCTGATTCCCACAGGTCCTTACTGCCGAGGTTAACGGCAAGGAGATTGTGCTGAACGAGGGCGACTGGCTGTCCCTCAACGGCACCACGGGAGAGGTCATCAACGGCCAGCAGGCGCTCAAGAAGGCCGAGGTCACCGGGGGAGACCTGGGCAAGCTCATGGCGTGAGTGGGCAGCTGGGGTGTGGGGCGTGTATGTGTGTGTGTGTATGTGGTGATGTGTGGGATGGGGTGGGGTGTGCGTGGGGGGGATGGGGTGGGGTGTGTTCGTGTGTGCGTGTCGTCCATCGCGCGGCAACGTGCAGCACTTTCCACTGCCAAACACGGTGGATTTAGATTGTCATCAAACGGGGGGCGGATACGCGCCAATAGTGTTTAGTACATCACTACGGCAGTACACCGGCCTCTTCCACCAAAAATTATCCCGTTGTCCACGTCTAACCGGCCCCCATCGCGTCCTTCCCGTGTGCCTGTTTTGGCAACAGGTGGGTGGATAAGGCCCGTCGCCTGCGGGTGCTCACAAATGCCGATACTCCCGAGGATGCCTTGGTCGCCCGGACGAACGGTGCCCAAGGCATCGGGTTGTGCCGTACTGAGCACATGTTCTTCTCGACGCACGAGCGCATTGCTGCGGTGGGTGGTAGTAGCAAAGTTGGATTGATGTGTGGGATTGAGGGTATTTAGGGTATATCATTTTCCTCACCTTCGTGCGACCACGATGCATATCGCGTTTGGACTTGATGCTCATAATGAGCACTTACCGGTTTATTAATTTCTTGCTCTGTCGAGCACTTGTAGACCGAGCGTGCTGTTGTTGTTTTCACCGACATCCTGCAAAGGCAGCGTGTACCCTTGTTGCTCCCTCATGGTTGCTCACGGAGCGGTCTTGCTAACCGTGTGCAGGTTCGGCGCATGATTGCCGAGGAGGAGCTTGACAGCGACCACAAGCTCGAGGCTCTCGAGGACCTCAAGAACTTCCAGCGCCGGGACTTCGAGGGCATCTTCACGTAAGGAGGACGGAGCGATGGCTGACAGGAATGGAATGGAATGGAGAGAGAAAAGGATGGATATTAATGAGTCGGACCTAAGCTATATGCCCGAGTTCGGGTTTACGTGGAAAAAGCGTCAAATTCCTACAGAAAAAAACTCGTGAAATGTTTCCTTTTTGTTTCTGCAGGGCCATGGACGGCATGCCCGTTACCATTCGCCTCCTGGACCCGCCGCTTCACGAGTTCCTGCCGCAGGAGGGCTCTGCCATGGACGCCTTGTGCGCTCAGCTCGCTAGTGAGCTCCACACCACTGTGGAGCGCGTCGAGGCGCGGCTGAACGGTCTGCGTGAGGTGAACCCCATGATGGGCCTTCGCGGCTGCCGTCTGGGCATTGTGCATCCGGAGATAACGGAGATGCAGGCGATGGCCATCTTCGAGGCTGCTACAGCGGTGGTCAAGGCGGGCGGACACGTGCACCCACATATCATGGTGCCGCTGGTGGGTTCACACGGACGGTCAAGCCATAAAGTCAAAAACACATGCCCGTCCGAGCGACATCTCCACTAGATAACTTTTTTTTTAATGTCCCTGTTGTTGATGATATGATAGAGAAACATATGGGGATTTAGGATAGATCGTTGGGATGACAGCAGTCGGCATTCTAGAGTTGGGTGTCGTGTTTAGTTTTGCTCTTTAGTGCCGTTCGCTCCCCCCGGCTGAGAGGTTTCGGAATCGCTTTCTGGAGTGAGCAGCCCCTCCCTGGCGTTGTCGCTCCTCTCGCCCCCAAAGGTCGCCACCACAGATGAGATGGACCACCAGGTCGCAATCATTCACGCGGCGGCTGCCAAGGTGGCGGACGCGTCGGGCACCAAGGGTACGTGTGCCTGCATGTGTTTTTGCCGTATTTCTTTTCTCGACGATCCCTGTGATTCAACAAGGATCAACGCAGTGCAACACAGCAATCGTAACACTTTAATAATATTCAACGGGCTGTTCAGTAATTATTTTTGTGGGGCTTTCAACACATGCCCAGTGGTAGGCTTTTGACTTTTGACTTTTGACTGTCGTTTTCGCGTTTTTCTGTTCATGGCCGCAGTCCCCTACAAGGTCGGAACCATGATCGAGGTGCCTCGGGCCGCTTTGCAGGCTGGTCTTCTGGCGCAGCGCGCCGACTTCTTCTCATTCGGCACAAATGACCTCACCCAGATGACGTGAGACTAATATTAATTTGTGGGGAGGTCACTTGTATGCTTCTGTGATTGTGCAGGTAGCAGTGGTATGTGGAACATTTTCACCGGGAATATATTATTACTTTTTAGGCGGCTCTAAATACTGAAAAACGGTTGTCTGTTTGTCGCTATTAACAGGTTCGGAATCAGCCGTGACGACGCACAGGCCAAGTTCCTGTCTCATTACACTCGTCAGGGAATTCTGCAGACCGACCCCTTCGACACCCTGGATGTCATCGGTGTGGGTGAGATGGTCAAGATCGCCGTGGAGCGCGGTCGCGCCACCAAGCCCAACCTGGAGCTTGGCATCTGTGGCGAGCACGGCGGCGACCCGAGTTCCATTGCCTTTTTCAACAAGGTATGCTAATCAGGATTTGCGGATTTTCCGGACGTTCCGTCTGCCGTCTTCAGTATACGTTCTGCGGTTGATGCTTTTAAAATTCCGGTTGCTGATGCTGATACCTATCTTTTAAATTGAAATGATGAAAAAATCCTGCAGGTTGGTTTGGACTACGTATCCTGCTCGCCGCTGCGTGTCCCAATCGCTCGGCTGGCGGCAGCCCAGGCCGCCATCAAGGCGGCCAAGGCAGCTGCCAAGTGAACTCCGCTTTTGACATTGCTGATTTGAGCTGGAGCTGGACTTTAGGAAGTGATAACGTGGGGTAGTTTTTTTATTTGGTTACCCTGCGAGAATGCATCTTGACATATAACAGCTACGATGTCCTGTATCTGCAGGGGTTGACAGATTGCTGCTCATTAGTTGAAGATGAATGTAAGTCTTAAGTTTTCAAGTTGTCTGGTGTTGTGGCTGGGTTTCAATGTGATGGTGCGATTTTTATTCTTTTCAAGGATTTTGCCACGAATTTTGCACCTCAACAACCAACGAAAAGCACGTTTATTGTGGAGAGGTGAGCATCGGTGCTGGAAAAATGAAATGCATATTTGAAAAAAGATTGTGTTTCAGGTTTCGTTAATTTTGGTTTTTTTGGAATTTTGACATGCCTTCATTCCTCCAGATTGTGGAGATGTGAAATGCTAGGCGAGTATCGTTCTTTCGCAGTCGGCGAATTTGGTTATGCAGCTCCCCGTCTGCAGCGCAATAAAGAGTATTGAATCGTGTGACGCTGCCATCAATCGGTTTGTCCGGCTGTCACCACTTAGTCACCACCAACGCCGTGGGCTGTAATTTGCAAAATGTAACAGACGAAAGGGAAAAAGTCTTCGTCCCTTAAGCAACAACGGCAGTTTTCCGGCATTTACTTCTCAAGTATGTTTTATATCTATCGTATAGCTGGATAACTCTTACACCATGCGTATATACCACAGAACTCTTCACTTTTAGCTTCTACTTTATATTTGAGGCAAACCATTGAACCTTTTTCCGCGCGTCTGCAAAATGTATGTATATAAACCGGTCCATTCATCCGTCCTCGGTTCAACATTTTGGGAATGGAGGAGGTGACCAAGTGCAACAACACCGTATTATCGTTGACCCTAACATGAATGGATGGACCGCACGTATCTCTCCCGTTTGGTCAGTTGCCTCCTGCTCATGTCGTCTTCCGCTGCTCTGCTGCTTCTACGACTATTTACGCCTTACTCACATGTCCGTATACATCCCACCCTCACTGAGACGCGGGAAAGGCAGTAGGTGCGTGCCCCGTTCACCCGCAGCTGACAGCGCTATCAAATCGCGGCCCTTTTGCATCGCGGCCCTCTTCCGGAGCTCCCTCTCCTTACTTTGCGAGAAGTTGTGTCACGGGAAGCCACGTTCCTGCCTTCTTCAAGTCCGCCGTCGTGCAGGGAGCCCTGTGTTTTGCTATTGCTGAAGTCCCCTAAACTGCGGTTAGGTAGAAAGTAAATAAGCGCAAGATGCAGCACACCGTCCTGGGCAAGCTGTGCTCGTCGTCTTAAGAAAGATGCAAACTGTTGCCCAAATAGCCGGAAGTGAACTCAAGAGAGACAGCGGTCGGGACGATTACTTCTATGTTACAAAAACGGCGTCAGTCGAACAGTTAGGTACCAACGACGGTTGCGCCTTAATACATTTTTTAAAACGTTGATATAAAACCTGTACAGCAAGGGTGGAGGTTACTTTCAAACCTATTCTGCCCCTTTCATTTATTCTGCACCAATCGGCAACCGCAGACACAAAGGCGGGATATGCTGAGGCGGCCTTGGCTTCGCATGCCCAAATACCAAAAAACGTTCACGAATCAACAACTTCGCCATGCATCCACAAAATAATATCCCAAAGGATGCTAGCCAAAGCCATCAACTCCCCAAACATACAGCTAACCACAGAATTGTGACCCAGATAATGACGATGGTGAAACGCGCACAATCGAGTGCCTGCACCACTCGCATACCTGTGCGTGAACACTAGACCGAACCGCAAATTTTGGAGGACAACACCGGCATATCAAACTACTGATGCCAAGTGCATGGGCTATTACTATACTTCCATAACACGTAACCAGGTACAATTTGTGTGTTTTGTGTTGTACCTGGGGCATACACATACGACAAATCTGCAGGAGTAGCCCAAAACCTCAGCCTCAAAAACTTTTGACAAAAAGCCTATATTCAAAAGGACCCAACAGCTCCGCGTGTAAGAAAAAACATCGCTTTATAAGCAGGACACTTGCACTTACAAAACATCCCGGCCCTTGGAAGTTGCAAAGCAAAACAACGTGCGAGGCCTTCAGATACAAAGACCGACACAAACGTCGGATGGCCACGCTGCTCATTCAAACATACAGCTGTCCGCCCACTCAAAACTCGGCGAAAGCACAAAAATAAACTAACTTTCTCTTCTGCAAGCTTTTCAACCTGAAAAGACCTATAGACCAGGTTTCGACACCTATCACAAACCAGCAGATCGACATCTCCCCAGCCGCGCTGTCAAAAAGGATTCCTTTTTCCAAGATAAGCACCGCCTTCTTCCGGCCAGCCTTTCTCCATAGCTGTTAATGGTACAAAGACAAAAGGCTGACTGGACGCAGCCCAATCGATCATCGCCACAATGTAAAAATACAACTGTGACCTCACACATCCATGGCTGCCACATTCCGCTGTACAAAGGGAAATTATACCATACAACTGCAGTCCAAAAGCTTTCACGAGGCCTCCAAGTGCGCGCGCAGTTACTACTGGTCGGCGCCGCACGCTCGCACCACAGAAACGTCCAAAAGAGGAGCACCTCGAGCACCTCCGCCCCATACAGAACCAGGAGCCGCCTCCTCTTGGCTCGGCACTAGCTGCGCCCGGATTTTGAGGTACCAGAGCGCCTATGGATAACCGAAGCAGAACAAGGGACTGCGAGAGTGACGTGGGCTGGATGCTCACGCACTCGGGCTTCCACCATCCCCAAGGCCGACCATATAGCTCACCTCCGTTCCGTCACGCCACCGTCATGGGTATATATCTAAAGGCGCAAAAGACGGGGAACGTGCAGCTGAAAGTTCCACATGTGAACGTGCAACTGTTACGCCAAAGTAAAGACGCGACCGAATTGCCCAGACCAGATCGTCGCTGCAGCGACCCTTCATCTGTACAAAGCGCCTCCAACCGCCCAAACTGTCACAGCGGAACCGGTACGCGCTCCTCCTCGCATCTCGACTTTCCTTATCAGAACTCGGCCATTTTTTCCTCACGTTTGAAAATTGTTGAAACTCTAGGGGACACTGGCCCTCAAAAAGGCGCGAGTGCCACCCGGGACTCCTCTTAAATTGCGCGGCCAGGCCGCAGCGCCCCTCGTCTTGCTGCGAAGAGAGATACCCAAAAGATACCTATCTGCCCCCCCAAAAAACATTTCCTCTTTAAAACAGACCTGGCTCGCTCCGATTCTCCAATTCTGCACCTCTTTCTGCTATAATCTTGTATATCCTCCCCTCCCTCGACACACGGGTAGGCTGTATAGCGAAAAACGCACTTCAGGCACGCCGCAGGGCGACCTAGAACGCCTCGTAGGCCGTCAGGGAAATCGCTCTCCCATGGAGGAGCTGCATTGCTATGTGCGGGGAAAAAGCCAGCGACACCGGCGGCACCAATCCATTTGAAATGCACGCATCCCAAACTTCAGGAGGCGAAGAGGACAAAAACCTACGGGCGGACCGCTGCCCACATTCTTCCTCCCGCAAAGCACTGCGACACTAGGTCCCCCCAATGGGACACAGCCTTTCCTTGAAACTCATCCCCCTCGACATCTACCACGCGACTACTCATCACACAAAACTATACAAAAACCAAACTTCTTGGACTGTGGCGCTAACAGCCGCAGGAGAAAGGAGGCCATCTGGGTTTCTCAGTGAAGAACATATTTGCTTCGAGCTGCTGAACGCATTAGCGGAGAAGGTAGAGCTTGCCGCAATGAGCCGTCTAGTGAGGCGCCATTGTTGTAGCAATAGATGGGAAGCTAAAACACAACAAAAGGGACAAAGGGTACAAAACCAACATCCATGCCAGTCACCTGTAAAGGTTTGCACCTTTTTTAAAACTCTTTTAAGGTGCACAAACCTCGGTTGAAGTTCAAACGACACGTCGTCGACGCCTCTCCCATATTTCAGGACCAAGGTCGAATTCACCACAGCTAAGGAGATGCAACACTAGGTACGCAACAGACGCCGCAGGGCAGCAAAATGAAAAAGAAACCAAACTACAGAAACCAGGAAAAACCCAATTTCCATGCCGCAACTGTGTATATATAGTCGCCGTGCGCACCCCTAGGAAAAACGCCCTTCCCGGCTGTGATGTCTCTTGTCCATGTATAACGGTCGCGGTTGTACGGCGGTAGTTTTTAGTTCCAGACGGAAGCAGTTCCGGAGGAGGCTTCCCGCGCGCGCCCCTCACGCACACCGTACACCTGCGCTCGCCTGACTGGCAATAGCCAGCCCCTGCAGCACCGCCATCCTGCAAGCGGCGCTGAGGTCCTCCTGCGCCTTATTGGGATCCTCCACACGAACCTCCACCTGCTCTCCCTTTGCAAACACCAGCTGCCTCGAGTTGCAGAAGACCTGAACCACCTCCCTCGCTTCCATGCTGTCGCCCCGTGCCGCACACGCGTGTTCGTGCAGGAGCTGCTGTGCGCCGCAGCGCGCAGTCCGTAGCAGCCTCCCCGCGGTAGCGCCCGCGGCACCAGCTGATGCAGCGGCTGGCGCCGCCGCCGCCCCTGCCCCCGCCGCCGCTCCAGGTAAGGTATTCTGCAGCGGCTGAGGCGGCAGCTTGCTCCTCACAACCACCACGTTGTTAGTCCCGACCAGCTCCACTCCGACTTGGGCTCCGATGACCACGACGTCGCCAGCGCGGTGCACGTAGGTGGGGAGGTCGTCTACTTGGACGTCTAGCAGCTCAGGGCAGCCGCGGAGAATGGTGGAGGGCAGGAACTCGGGGATGAGGGCGCGCAGCGCCTGTGCCTTCAGCGCGAGGGCCTTGGCATCCAGATCCAACATGTCCAAAGAGGTGCGTGAGACGAAGAGAGCAGCCACGTTGGAGTCATCAAGCTTCTGCCAGACGAGCCGGTGTAGCTCCGACAGACGCGCGCGAAGGCTCTCGGGCGTATATCTGCTCAGGGAGGACATATGAGGGCCGGAAAATGACAGGGGAGTCAAAGCAGGAATTGCAAAATTTTTAGGGAAGAAGAGAATGAAGGTCATCAATGACGCGTATAGCAAAGGAGCAATCCCTATTCCTATAGAAGCTATACATGTTACCAATCAGGAGGCATGTGCACAGCCCGGCAAGAACGCAGGGACAGCAAGGATCTAGGTTTTATGATTTTGCTCAAGACCCAGTAGCGCTGAAAACCCCAGTACACGAAACAATTTCCGTACCTGTCAACAAGGGCCAGCACATGCGCGTCCTGCATAAAGTACGGGCGCATCAACTGCCTCTGCCGATTAGCATCAAGCAAAGCCTGTACCACGCCGGTCGTCCGCTGCGCATCCTTCCACAGCAGAGTCGGGTGCCGCGCCAGTAGACCCGAGCAAAGTCCACGAGCTTCAGCATCAACCTGATGAAGTGCCGCTAGCCAGTCTTCCACCTGCAGTCGACAGGCGCGGCCGTTCAATGATCAGGCAGTGCAGCTACGAGACGTCCTTATTAAAAAATTTTATACATGGTAAGAGCAACAGATACGCTTAACTCCGGTAGCCCATAATTAAACATGTTTTGCATTTAGGTCAAGTGTGACGGCGCCTTAACGCGGAAGTTGGCTATAGACCCAGTTGCAGCATTAATTCAATTAATTATCACCACTCCTTTACGCTTGATACCAGCAAACCCCAAAAGTGCGAGGTTGTCTATTAAAGGGATCTGACTAGGCATCACGTTTTATCTTCTCCCCCCCACCTGAGAAGATTCTGCGTTGGCCACACTAGCTTGCCATGCTGCCGTGGCAGCGAGGCTTGACGTGCTACTTGTGAGGCTCGCAGTGCTTTGGCGCTCGTGCTGCATGGACCAGGACGAGCCGAACCCTCCCCGCGACCTGAACATTGGCGCCGAGAAGCTGCGTTCCTGCTGTAGCTGCACACTTAACAGCAAGCTGCAACCAGAACCAGTATCCAGGCCCTCAAGGGACGACTCAACTGCAGAGCCGCGCGGTGGGAATGAGGAGCTACGCGAGGCAGACGTGAGACGCCTCACGCTATACGCAACCCGCATTCTTGCTGAAGTGCTGAATTACCGACGTCCGTGCCGGGAAAGAAAGAACAGCTGACCATACAACCCACGGCTTTGAAATTTAGGGCTGTCCGACGGGGGTCTTTTTGCCAGTACGTGTGTACGAGCAGCTGACGCAGCGGTGATTTCCAAGGATTTGCCTACCACGGTCGATAGATGTGAAGAGAGAGATTATTCATTTGCTGTGCTGTAAAGCTCAGGTGCCACTGGCCGGTGAAGTGGGCTGTTCAGAGGAAGATATGCGAGATTTTTGTCTCGTCACGAATTAGCCGGTGATGACTTCCTTGCTCGCAATATTCTTGCTTAGCTTTATGATATAATGGTGTATAGCTACAGCTACTTCGTTGCTGAAATGGCAAAGATCCGAGCAAACTGCTTTCGCAGGGAGTTTAGCAACTAAAGTCCATCTTTCTGCATTCTCCAAAAAGGTTTCCGTTGCTATTCAGAAGATACAACATTAGTTACCTTTGTCGCTGTACATCCCAAAATCATACAAACTCGCCAGCTCACAAGTGCGACGAGGCTTTCGGAAGTATCCGAAGGCTTTCAAGAGCCCGACAAACCTCCCATCGCAAGGCAGATTCAAGACATGTTTCCTATACAAACCTGCGGTACTATGGCCGTTCCCTTACTTGTTTTGCTAGCATGTGCAGCTGCACAAGCCGCACCTCGCGTTGCGGTAGTTGGCGCTGGAGTTGGTGGAGCCTTCACTGCCACCAGGATAGGGGAGGTCTCCGACCCATCTCTTCAGCCGGATGTTGACATGTGTGTATCTTAACCTAGCCTTCAGGCAAGCAGGCATTGCCCTCCAACGTGCGCCGTGTGTGACATGCGTTCCGCAACCGCAGCTTTGAGGCAGAAGCACAGGAGGGCGGCAGGATACAGCAGTTTTATTATGAAGAAGAGGTGCGTTTCATCCATGCCTATCAAATACACGAGCTTCTATGTCTTAGCGCGAGTTACCATTTTCACACCAACACCACGACCAGACCATGAGGAAGCCTTGCTCTCAGCCATATCGAAACATTAACGACATGGCATCCATAAAATTCGAATTACCCAAAGACCATCCCCTGGCGTGCTCGCCTAGGCGGACGGACACAGGCACACAACATGCCGCCTCGCAGCTCAGAGAAAACATGCCGCCTACACACTCCACCTCCCAGGATAACAGCCGTGCTCAAGACGGCTCAAGTAACAGGACATTCCGTTCTCACGCGCCACCCAAAAGACAAAACCGTGCATCTGAAAAAGCAATTCAAATGCACGCATTACAAACATCTGTTTACTTGCACGTCGTGTACAACCTCTTCCCCCCCAATCACACGGTCTCGGACACTGTTTTGGCGCCTTTATTTTCACCTAGGGACAAAAAAATCTCGACCACCACCCTGCCACAGAAAACCCTAAACCCGAAAAACCCCCAAAACTTTAAAATTGCGCACAGGCTTTGGAGCTGGGTGCCTCCATCTTCTGGGAGAAGAACCGCTACATAAAAACCGCGGCGGAGCGGCTAGGGCTCACCCTGCGGCGGCTGAATGGCGCGAGGGCCCGTAGTAGTAGTGGCGCCCGAACCCGAACCGATGATAGTGGCGGTGGCAGCGGCGCCGGTGGCATCACCGACAGACACGGGAAGAAAGACGTCCAGTCTACGCGGAACGAAGACGTTTTGGGAGGAGGATTCGCAGTTTGGAACGGCACCGCGTTTGTTGTCAACATGGTGCGGTCCTCCAGTCGAGGGGGTGGGGAGAGCTGTGGGGGGGTGGGGGGTGGGGGGCCCGGTGGAAGGGTTGGAAGCCCAGGCGGTGACGGGTAAATGTCTGAGGGAGGTTGACCAAGTGGAGCGGCGACGAGGGATATAGATGAAGGAAGCCGAAGCGGAGAATTTTATTCTTACGTTGCGAGGATTTTTAAAATGGGATGAGGATTTTTCCGTGCTGTAAAACGAAAACATAAAACCATTATCCAGTACTGATGCTAGTTATGGACAAAGTTTGAGAAAAGGGCAGGGAAGAAGTCGCGAAGTTATAACGCCTTTGATTTAAACCCTTAAAACTCGTTATCGCTGTAATTAATAAAAACCCGCACACCCAACTAAACTCGACTCAACTCACGTCGCCCAACAGACGGGTTCTTGGTCCGACATGCTGCGCGCGGCGCGGCGGTACGGCACCGCCGCATTACGGTATAAATGGCTCGTGCGCGACGCTTTCCAACGTTTTCAACGCGTGTACGACATGCAAGCGGCAGGTACGACATGGAACACTCCCGATGCCATGCTCCGAGACCTGGAGCTCTTCAACGAAACTCAACAGCGTTGCTCGGACTTCATGAAGGTGCGTACGGCAGGGTACGGGGGGGTGTTGGGTTGAGAGCGTTGGGGGGGGGGAAAGGAGGGGAGGGTGCAAATGGAAAGGCGGGCCTGGCTGTTACTGAGAACTCCCTTCTGCCGCTTTGACGTGCGCGGGCGGGCATATGTACATCCATATGTACATCCGCACGCAGGACTGGTTACAGCAGCCACTGTGGTGGTTGTGGGGCGGCGCGGAGTTTGCAGATGAAGTGGCTGGGGCAGCTAACCGTTGCAATTATAACCAGAACAACGAACAAATGAACGCGCTTGCAGGTGCGGCCACCAACTAGTACTTTCCATCTGTCTATCTGTCCGTCTGTCTATCTGTCCGTCTGTCTCCAGATCGGATGCGGCAGGAGAGATGGGGATGAGGGTTGGGGGAGGATGAGATGGCAGGGGGGTTGAAGGTACCCTGCAGCACGCACCCCACAGAGCATAGGAGTCATTCACAGGGGGGTTCCATGCCAGGTCCATTCCATATATTCAGGTCTGAAGCTTTGCGGCTATGATGCTCTATCCCAACGAAAGGGACTCGGTCTTCCACTTCCAAGTTCAGTCTACGAGGCGACCGGGGCGGGCCTTCGAGCTAATCAGCGGGAAAAGAATTGTGTGTGGGAAGGGGGACGTGCTGACAGAATCAAGGGAGTCATAAAGGTTTGGCGCATTGAGCACACGGAGCGTGTTGGACCAGCTGAACCAGCGGTTTCTCAAAGGTGGCTTCCGGGACGGGGGCTTTTGGACTCCCCGATAGTTGCTGTGTCAGCGTGGGTGGTGCTGCTTGGGGGAGCCGCCTAACGCCCTGGCCCCTGGCTGTGAAGTTGCACCCACCATCGCACCCTCTTTTAAGTAAGAAGGTGCTGAAGGCAGCGTAGGCAGCCCTGTTGCACTTGTGCTGCTACTAGTACTGTTACACTTTTCCTTATTCAGCGGAGTGGATTCTCCTTTGCTGTACTGCAGGTTTGGTGTCTTACATGCCGATAGCGTACGGTGCTGTATTTCAAATCGAGGGCGGCAACAGGCAGGTGGTTTCGGGGCTGCTGGCAGCGTCGGGGGCCCAGCTGTTCACGGCGTCACGAGTGACGATGGTACGGCGGCGGCAGGAGGATGGCCGATACTTCTTAGAAGTTAGGAGGAGTGGCGGGATTCCAACTACCGCCGCAGGCAGCGACATGAAGGACGGGATGAAGGCAGAAGACGAGGAGCTGAAAGACAAGGCTGACGCCGCCGCTAAGACTGAAGCTCCGGCCGCTGCAGATGCGGTGGCGGCAGTAGTGCCGGAGGATGTGGACCCAAGGAACCTGAGGCGTCATGAAATGGCGAAATTCACCAAAGAAGGCAGGTGGTACGGTACCTGGGAGCTGGTACGGTAAAAAACACCCCCCCATGGATCCTGAATCCAATATCGCATCAGCCTGGTGCGCCACATTGCATTCTCTAGGACCTGGGGCACCGCCAACAGCCCCCAACCGGCACCTTTCCATCCCCTCCCCTCGGGCCCTCCTTCGGCCCCGCGGTGCCCTCTTCTACGAGAGCTGTGTGGTCGCCCGCTCGCTCCTCTCTTGCCGTGTTCCCGTGTTTTCCGTGATGATGATCGCCCCCGGTTCGCCGGCGTCCCTTTGGGGACTCCCCTTGGTGGCACCCCGTGATTTACTTCTGATTTACTTCCGAAGGCCACCGATGCACGAGTCCCTGTGCGTCTGTATGTTCGTATGTATGTGTGTTCATCATTTTGGATCGTGGGATCGCGGGATCATTTTGGATCGTGGATCGTTGGATCCACGGCGGGTTGCTGCCTTGCCGAGGCCTTACGAGATTCCCTTCTCATGCTCGTCACCCTGCTTGTCCTCCTCACGGCGCTTATCGCAGTTTTTGGACCGTACGACGCCGTCGTAATTGCGACGCCACTGCTTGGATCTGGAATCCAGTTCGATCTAGATGGGGACGGTAATGCCGACAACGGCGATGGAAGCCGGGAAGCGCCGGGTGCGTCACATTGCGAGGATACGGATGCGGTGCCAAGTGGCCCCGAAACCGTACTGCACCAGCCGTACCAGGTCACTGTGACAACGTACATTGTGGCGGAGCGGCTGCGTGCCGGGTACTTCAATGTAGTACGGGTGCCGCCAGTGGAGCGAGTTTTCGTGACCAGCGACGCGCAGACGCCGTTTTCTTCTGTGGCCATGAAACGTCTGGATAGGGTGGAAGGTGTTGGTGATGGCGGAGATGATGGAGGTGGCAGCGGCAGTGGCAGCGGTCAGCGGGTTTTCAAGGTGAATTGGGCCCCGTCAGGAACTGGCGCTGGAACTTGTCTTTGCATGTCTTTTGGCTTGCCTGGGCTTGTATGTAGGAAATCACTGGAGGTCAGTCCCGCCGGGCTGGTACATTACCTAGATACAGACACATAAGCATACGTACGTATGACAGACAGACAGACAGACAGACACATAAGCATAAATACTCAAGGAAACATAGATACACACATATACAGATGTATGGTCTACAGTTTCAGTAGGAAATCCGAGCACGCTATTTTCTGATTTACCGGAAGCAAAACACGTCGCTGGTGTCTACGGAGCTCGCTTCGATATAATGAAGTTATTCCCGTGTACCACCATCGACATACATTTCCCTCATTGCTGCACGCAGATCAATAAAGCGCACATAGACCAGGCCCGGTCACAATACACACCAAACACGCATAGACCAGGCTCCGTCCGATACTTGTAACCGTCACACATAGAGACACACATACATACATACATATATAGAGGGTTTGGCACCACTGGTAAGGCGCGACCATTGCCCCCGGGAGATCCCGGGATCGATACCCGTTAGGGTCAAAGTCCTTCCGATGGTGGAAGGCATTGCGCCCCTAGTTGATGGACGGTGGTGACCTGGGATAAAGTTAACCTGCGAGCCGACCAGGAACGGAGTTGGGCCGCTGTCGACCCGGCAGATTCCGTTGGATGCTGGTGGTGGGTGCGGAACCTGAGCGATCCACTGAGAAGTTGACTAGGGTGACTGGATGAGGGTGCCCCGAAATACCGGGGAAGGCAGGGTTTCGCAGGGTAGCTGCCACGGGCGAAGATACACCCCCCTGTTTCACACATCATACATACGCATTCATTCTCTTTGGTTTCATACCATCCGACCTCCCCGTCCCGAGTGACTCTGAAAAAAACACGCGCAACACAGACCTTCTCCCCCTCACATTTATCCCCCGAGCACGACGATTTGACTGTCGTACAGTGGCGAACATTTTACTTCTCCGAGCAATCAGCTCACAGCCCACATGCTGTGTTTTGCTGCGCGGGGCCTAACCCGGTTCATCGGGCTCGACGTCCCACTTCCTTTCTTCGGCCCTCCCCTGCTCCCCCCGCGCGCTGCATGCCTCCCACTATGGTCTTCTTTTCAAACTCCCAACCCCCAACCGCAAACCGATCCAAGATCTTTTCGAGGGAGGAGCTTCCCCAGCAGCTGTTATCGGATCTGTTTGAATCGGATCCAGGTTCAGTACAGCCGCGGGTGCTGTACAGCCGACGCTGGCACGCTTACCCTCGGTAAGAGAGAGGGCGGGGGGAGAAAAGATGGAGGGGGAGGGGATGGGTTTTGGTACGAAAGAAAAAGGGATACGTCTCCCTGGGAAGCGGTAGAGCGAGGTGATGACCTCCCCCCTTTTTCCCCCCATCAGTCTTTCCGTGGCATCAGCTTCACTCGCTCGTGGTACGTCTTCTCCCCCCTTTCCACGGTTCCCCCTTCCCCCCATCCAAACCCTAGGCACCTCACAGTCCCACCACTGGGCTGCTCGTGCCGCCTCCAGGTCTCCTCCCCATCACCATCACTGCCACTACCACTGCCGCAACATACCACGGCCACCATACACGCCCAGAATCCGAAAAGGGAGGAAATCTCCCCCCACGGGGGGAGACACAGGGTTTTCCCCTCCGCACGCGCCTTCTGCAGTCCTGCGGTCATTATTTCTCTTACACAGACACCACGCATACACACACATCACACACACACACACACATACACACACCACGCGCACACACGCACATACCACACACACACACAACGTTTGTAAGATTCAGCTTTCGGGCTTAAGGCGCCGTCAGGGCGGCCCCTCACGGGGAGGAGGTGCGTCCAGGTGTTGCAAGGACCGGGGGTGTGCAGCCGCGCCTGATGCTCAAGGCGCAGGCTGCATGGACGGAATTGTGCCGGAGCGCATGCTGGGGTTGTCCGTATGAGGGCCTTGGTAGCCACCGGGCTCTCTGAACGCTGTTGAATTATTAAAAAAACTTGATCCAGCGGGCAAACAATACTAAGATTTCATGTTGTGCCATTGCCGCCATTTCCCGCAGTGCGAGTTGAGTTCATCAAAAAGACATGCCGTATATCCCCACCTCCATTCACCCTTTCCCCACATCTCTCCACACACACTCTTCCGCAGCTTTCGGCCCCCAGAACACTTTTCGCCCTTCGTCCTGGCGCCGGGGCTACTGTACGGCAATGCCCTGGAGCCGGCGGCGTCGGCAATGGAGATGGCGGCCATTGCAGCGCACAATAGTGCAGCGCTCGTAGTACGACATCTGGCTGAGCTGTACGGGGCAGCGGACGCTGCGGCTGCTTTGGCGGTACAAGCGCAGGGGCAGTATCAGGAGCAGTAGCTGTATTTTGTAGCAGTAGCAACATTCAGCAGCTGCAGATGTAAAACTCTAAACCCTAAACTCTAAATCTCAATTGTGTACGTCTAATGTCATGTAGTTGTTTGTACATGTACATCATGTACGGCTGAGAGATGCAGTCTTTGGTGACACGTGCTTTTCCCATCTTGGTGGAGAGAGTTTTGAATGAAGAATGATGTGGGGATGTGATGGCAACACGCACGTTGTTGCGGAGGGCGCTCGCGCGTGTTGGTGGGTGGGCGGGCGGCCTTGCTGATAGCCATGAAGGTGTTTTGCATGTGGTGGTGGTGATGGTGGTGGTGGTGGTGGTGATGGTGGTGGTGGTGGTGGTGATGGTGATGGTGATGGTGATGGTGGTGGTGGTGATGGTGATGGTGGTGATGCCACTGCCTACTGCTGTCGCCCATTGTAGCCCTTTGCGTTTTTATACTCGTAGCGTCGCGGAGCATATCGTCTTGTCAATCACCAGTCACCAGGCAACAGCCATGAGTGTGATTCGTCACCACCAGCAGCAGTCGTGTCTGTGCGTGCGGAGGAGCTTTAATTTGCCAATGTGCCGTACTATAGCAGGTCATGCGCTTGCGTATCTTGCCAACACTACTGCCGTGTGGTTGATGCGGCTGCGGCGGTTGGATGGATGTTAGATAGAAGATTTATATACCTTGCCTATGGCATCAGCGGGTCTACATATCGACGATGTGTGTGTTCATTTAGGCTGTGGCGTACACCACATTAGTTGTTTGTTGTAATCCACGTCACCGGCCCATATTGACCTGCAAATGCGAGTGGACGTATGTTTATCTGTGTGTGTATATGTCTGTATGTATGTGTGTATGAATGTATGTATGAATGTATGTATGTGAAGGTTACAAGTATCTCACCGGGCCTGGCACTGGCCACAGGGGCTGCTGCCCAGCCCCAACGGTAAGACCGCCTAAGCTTTCTCCCGCGGAGGGGAGAGGGGCGCGGGGGGCCTCTGTCCCCGCCTAAGCAGCCGAGGGCCGCAGGTCCGCTAGCTCCGCTCTCCCCCCCCTGGGGATGGGAGGCATCGCACGTGTGTGTATATGTATGATCTAGATTACACTGTGGGCCGCGAGAGCCGGGGAGGGGGGAGAGCCGGGGAGGGGGGAGAGCCGGGGAGGGGGGAGAGCCGGGGGCCGAAGCCGAAACACAGCGCAAGGGTCGGGAGCACACAGCACAACTCGGTTAGTATTGTGTGCTCCCGACCCCGACTCAGACTGCCAACACACAACGCAGCCGCTCCACAGCACCTCCGTCCGGGGATATGTGTATGTATGTATGTGTGTGGGCCGGGAAAGGGGAATTCTCCTGCTCGGGTAGTTTATGTATATGCATCGCATGGGCGTTTAGCAAATCTCGGATACCATCACTTGAATTGAATAAAGTACCATTTTCTGGTATTCCATCCTCGAGCAGCATAACCCGGCACAAAATCTGACGCTCTCACCACGAGCATCAAGGCAGCGAATGTGGGTGATAGGACCTTTCCATCATCGCGTCGCTTCTTGACCTAACGTGTATCGAGGAGACTGTTCAGTATCGGCTGCCTAGTTTAACATACACCTTAGTAGCTAGCGCACCCTTTTCTTCGGCTTTGGGCTTTCCACGTCTGCATTTCCCGTACGCACATTTTCATGCTTTGTCGTCGAGGCTACGGTTGTATGACGCGGCATTGTCTTTCTCCTGCTGTCTGTCCGACGGTCCACTCTGCCTTTTTGATAATACTAGTATTCCGCGCTGTCAAGCACGGTGCTTGTATAATCCACGTGTCGATTGCTGCGATGCATTTTTGGCAGGTACATGTCTCGCCACGAACACATGAAGTCGGTTCCAGTACCGTTTTACAGAGCGGATCGACTCTCTCGATTCGGATTCTGACAACCCCCGACAGCCGTCTTCTGCGCATATGGCACATGCACACACGTCCACGTACGAAAGCGTCCACGTACGAAAGCACCATGCAACGATGTCGTGTCTTGTCTTTCCAAGCGTTTAATAACAGGAAAACGCTTGTAAAAATTGGCATAGCAGGCGTACCCATGTATCCAAAACACGGCAATAAATGACTGCCAAGCAACAACGGCGACCGCAACCACAACTACACAACGGACAAAACGAACCGACGAAAGGGACAACCTACTGCTGCCCTCCATATCAGGGCACCAAATGTAGTTGACCTTCTGCGAATATACTCTCCTCTCAACTCAACATAGGAGCTCCATCCTAGCTAGGATGCCACAACACACATCTACTCGTAATCCTCGCTGCTGAAGAGGACACGGAAGGGGATGCCGTACCACTCGATGTTGTTGTCCTTGGCAAACCTGTTCACCGCGAAGGATGGGACGTTTAAAAGAGCCGAGTACGCACGGATCCACGTCAAGAATGTATCGATATAGTGCATCGATATATACATATGTCTTATTATTTTTTGTGCCTACTCCCCCTATGCAGGAACTGACAAGGCCGCTGCAGTGCGCGAGGGCCAAATCAGGCAACCGAAGCCTAACAACCGCAGCTCAGCAGCTCTGTGAACCTAGCAGTATCATGTGGCCCATCGACAATCGATGGGGACATGCTCCGGAACCCAGCAGTTTTTTTTATATAGTAACTTTGTCCTTCCACTGCATCCATGGGCTGCCCTGTCCCAGCTCCCGCCTGCCAGCCCAGCCATCATGCCAGCCAGCCAGCACTTACTCTCGAAGGTTCATGGAGTGCTTGGAGGTGATGTGGTCCAGATAGCCCTCCATCGAGTCCCAGGCACCACGGATCAGGTAGTGGTGGTTCATAGTGGCGAACTTGCGGAGACTTGAGGATGGTGGTGATTGGAAAAGGATTTAGGAAGGGGTTAATGCTTGGTTAGCTGGTTTTATTGAAGCATGGCAATTGGACAATTGGTGGGATTAAAAGGATTATCAACTGACAAGCACAACAGAATGATTCATGCATATCGTGTTCGGCACCGGGCATTGCATTTTCGGGCCCGATGTCCGGCGCCCAGCAAGTCGGAAGACGCTATCCAGACCGAGAGGCTGTGCAGTGGTTTTCACCACCCGGCCACTTACACAAAGAAGCGGTTCTCGTCCTCGTCCTTCACCACGCGCTTCTGCATGTCCTCCATGAAGTTCAGGAAGTCGCCCTCCTAACACGCGAGTACGACAGGGTGTACGATAGATAAAAAGATCTCAGGGACGCGGTGTGCGCGGTTTGGAAGCACAGATCGCAAGGAAGGAGTAAAAATACAAATGTATTACAAGTCCAGACTGGAGATGGCATCGCAGGAGCCAGCTATCCCTCCGGGCCTATGGGAAAAACCTCCGATATGGGAAAAAACTCCGATATGGGAAAAAACTCCTGGCCTATGGCCAGACCACATACACGGAAGAAACTGTTCTGACAGCCTCCTCCATAGCGCCAGTCAACCCAAGATAAGATGCCTTCCATAGCAAGCTGAGCCGAGCCGAGCCGAGCTGAGCCAAACACGTTGTGCTGATTCAACCACATCATGGACCGCGAGGGCCCATGCATGCAAGCTGTCCAACAGAGTCACAGCCACGTTCTCAGTCACCTACCTGAGATGGCATGATGTGGAAGCGGATGCCCAGGTGGGCCGCCTCGTCACGCGGGTCCCAATCCTCGATCTCACGACCACGGCGGCGGCGGCGCTCCAGGTCCTTGGCGGCGGCGGCACGGGCGACGGTGGCGGCCTTCTCGCCCTCGCGATCCGCACGGTACTCCTGTTTTCGAGTCGAGAGGGGACATTCGAGGGCGCCGGGATGGTGTGGCAGGATTACAACAACGTTGCAACGAGAGGAGGATAGCTCGAAGTAGCAAGACGGGTTGCGGGCACGGCCATTTCGAGCCATTAAGAAGCTAGTCTCAAGGAACCTGACATCGTGGTCCCTACTTACACGCTTTTCATCTCCAAGAGCCTCGAGCGGGAACATCTCGACCAGAATGTCGTTATCATCCACCCAGTTGTGGAAGTCCTTGAACGCGCGAGACCTGAGCAGAAAATGCGACCGAGGGGAAAGGTCAAAGAAGTCAGCTGTGCATTGTCGAGGCGACGCACGGCTGAGGACCACGCCGTGCCGACCGACGAGTGCAGCTACTAGCAGACCAGTACAGCTCTTTAAAAGAAAGGAATTCCCCATTTTCCAATCGTTTCTTACTCACTCGCAATGATCCATCAGGTCGCCGACTGTGTCCCACTCCGTGTAGCTCCAAAAGAAAACGTTGTCCGCCAAGTCCTTGGTCTTCTGGTAGAAACTCAGACCCTTAACATCGCGCAAGATCTTGTCGTGGCGATCCCTGCGACGTGAAGAGCGGTTCGGTTTCAAAGCGGTTCGGTCCGGTCAGCAACATCGGAGCAAAGCAAAAAAATAGTGTCGAGCGCGCGAGGCGTGGTCAGGCGGCAACTGGTGGCGAGACCAAATGTGTGTGTGTGTGTTACATGGTTGGGGGTGCGTGACCCCATACCTGTAAGACTACCCATACGAGCCGAGGGCCCAAGGGCAATACTACAACGCCTAAAAGCCACGGAGAAAAAGGAAAAAACACCGCACATCAGCCCAGACTAACGTCCAAAGGGGGTAATTGAGTTTCGGTGAGCCCACATACGTTCCAACATCCTCGCCAGACGTGCGGGTTCCCATTGCATGGCCTCCAACATACTCTGTTGATGATCGAATCCCTCTTCAGCACGAATATCATTATAGGCTGGGCATTCCAATAACACGTGTTTTTCATCCTCAATTCGGCTATTAGGACCACAACAGTGGCAAAACCGCTGCCCCCTGGGGACATGGTACTCGCCCCTTCGTGCTCTGTTCGCCTCCAAAGCCCAGCAACATAAACGAAACTGCATTAGCTTACGATGTGCTAAACGAGGAATGAAAACCTTAGCATGTGTTGGCCACATGACGGCTGCGGCTCCCGAAAAGGGCAGCCCCATCCAGTGCTTAGACCAAATGATTCGCGCTATGCTCCAACAAGACACGACGGCGACGCGGACTTTTGCGACGTACTGGCCGTCGGGCCAGAAGCACCGCACATTTCCTAAGCTCCAGAACACCCTCAAAACGCCTTTCTCTACACGTCTTGCATGTCACAGGACGCACGAACCCAGATCCATTTACTCACATCTCCTCGATGAAGCGGTCGTGCAATGTCGGGGGCACCTCGTACTTGATCAGCACATACGCAGGACGGTTCTCCATGCCCTCACCACCGCGGCGCATCAGCCACTGAGGTATTTGGAAAGACCACCCGCGTGATCAGGACCAGTCAGACGAGAGCAAGCCGGCAAGGGACAGCAAAAATATAGAGGCAGATCAGGACAGGAAAGGCATGGGCAGGACAGAAGCTTGTGATTGTCACAGTACTGGACCCCTGATGCAGCACACGTTTCCCCTCGCTCGCATGTGTGTAGAAGCTGTACACAGTGCGGCACACATATCCTCGACAATACACGCTGACAAGGCGCTCCGACAGAGTCAAATACAGCGCTCCAAGGGAACTCCTCCCTCACAAAATTGGTAACGAGCAGCAGGTAACGAACAGCTGCCACAACCAAGTATGCGCCAGACTGACATGCCGGAATGCAAAACAACTTCAGGGATTCGTTTCCGCTCACGCTCAAAGAGCATGCACCAGCTCTTTCAATCCATACTTGCACTGCCCAAGGTAAGGTTGTAAGCCTCAGGTTTATGAGCGCCCGGACGACTGCACATCGTCAGGCGCAACACAACAGTCGCGTTCTGTTGATTACTATGTCCATCACGCAGGATAGTCGCGCGTAGCGTGGTCTCACCTCGATCGCCCGAAGGTTGCTCATGCTGCCGGTGTTGCGGCTCAGCGAGCGATGAAGGGATGAGGCGGTAGGCGAGCGGGAGGCGCTCGCACCCACACACAGCAGCAGCAGCGCCGCTGCGGCGAATTGCAGAACACGCCGATTTGGCGCCATCGTAATATAGCGAGGGCAGGTGGCAGCAAGGGGGGTGCGGCCGCCCAGTATTAGTGCGCCGAGGAAGGCTTTGCGCGGGAGGGGAGGAACTACTAACTGTTAGGAGAGAGCAATTCTTATTACTGCCCGGCGTCTGACGACAGGTGTGCAAGCACACGGCTTTTATACTCCAGGCCGTAGGTTGGATGATGTCGGAACCGCGTCCAAATCATGACGCTCCGAAACCGATGTTGTGCAATTTCCGTTGGTGATCGTACGACAACGTGCCTTGGGATGGTGTAACGATCCGATGGGCTTGAAGTGAAATCTGGGACACGAACGCCACCTTAAGGTTAGACTTTGTCATACGGATTCACATCAGGCTGCAAAACTCTTACGTGCGTAATTTTAATTTCTGATGGAACAACAATACGTATCTGAGTGTAATGAACACTTTGGAATGGCCGAATTTTTACAGTCAAGGCCCGTGCGCGTGGGAAAAGCCTCCTGTAAAAGTACTTGGCAGTAGAGAGACCGCCTGGGTGCGGCGGCGTCACGCTGGGGACCGGGGCGTCAGCGCATAGGGCACATCACAGGTGGCGCTGTGGCATTTCGCACCACATGAATGCACAAATATGTTTCCACAAGACTCTAGATCATTGCCTGTCCCACTTCCCTTCCATAGCGGCGAAAAGAGCAAGGGACTTATTACCTAAAGGAAAACCTAGTAATAAACTGCATACACATGCATGCCAAACCTAGCGAGGCAATCAGGCTCTACTTAAGAAGGCTGCACTGTAGGTAATGCCTTAGAATTACAATCCATGGCCATCAGCTTTCTTGGTTATGGTGACAGTGTAAGAACAGAAAACTTTACTCTTGTTTGGCATATAGCACCGGCGGGCCACGCGTGGATACCTGCTGCAATTCCTGCGACAGCAGTGCTAGATATTTACTATGCGTGCAGCGCCTGTGCTGATGGTGGCCGGGTAAGGGCACTACTACTGCGCAACTGAACAGACAGGACAGTCAGGGACAGTTTACACCGGATTAATTGCTTGTTTCCAACCGGCGCCCGACAAGAGATAAGAGGTAGGTTTTCCCATGCGTCCTCCAGCTCGCATACATCGCTCGGTTGAGCGTGATTATTGCAGCAGCCTCGCTCGGCTTCCTTGCCGAGGCGCCCGCAGTGCCCGGCGCTTCATCCTCCTAGATTGGTAGCTTGCTTAGCTTGCTGTCTTTTGTACAGGTTTACACTAGCAGAAATATATGCAGGAATCGCCGCGTGCAAACCTGTGCAAACCTGGCGGTTTGCGGAAAACCGCCATGCACGTACCGGTGTTGAACACAGCTGCGCTTTGTTGAATTTAACAACCGACATGTAGACATTTGTTTCGGCAAATTCAGCCACCAGAGCTCATCACGGGGTTGGAAGGATAGAATATAAACTGTCGCGTCATTTCGTGCGTGCGCTGCTGCATAAGGTTTTCCGGGGAATCGCAGATGCGCTTCTCATAGCTTGACTCCCTGTCTGTGAGATATGTCGGTAGCTATGTCGGTAGCTACTTCAGGATTCATGGCATGCCTCCAGAAGTACTTTGGAGATTTGTAAGAGGCAGTAAGAAGCCAGCAGCAGCATACGCAACAGCCCCGAAAAGCAGCAGCGCCTAAGGATCATTATTTGGAACAACTTGTGGTGGCCCCAATCAGCCCAATCAGGTGCACCAAGGTGTGAAGCGCTGTGCATGGGACTCATGCATTGTTGTGGCAGATAGTGTTAATCAACCGTTAAGTGCACTTCCCCCACGTGGGGTGAGAAAGGCGCTACGAGACTGTACAAGCCCTTGTCTGACACTAAAAATAACAGCTTTAACTCCAAGCATCCACTGTTTGGCGTGCTAATTTTCATATCGATGGTTTAAATCCAATAGGTTTCCATGCCTATTTTTGTGTGCGGGTGTTGCGGAGGTTCGTTATTTTGGATTTGCCCGCGGTTTTGCCTTCCATGCCTTCTGTACGCGAGGCTAGCGCACGCGCGGCGCACAGGGCACTGCAGGGTTTCGCCTAGCGGCAGAACGGAAGTTAACCTCGCCGAGCGAGATGAAGCCTCCTTTGAGCCTGGCAAGTATGGCTGGTTACGGCAAGCCGGTGGACGCTACAGTGGCGAACATCTCCGTGCCTCGTACCACGAAAATCCTTGTGGCGCTTTTTGGTACTGGCGCCGCGCTTCTCTCGGTTGCGGCAGTGCTGGATCGCAGGGGCATAAAGCTACCCGTGAGTTCGGTGGCGGTGCTTGCTTTGCATGCCAAGCAGCAAAAATTGTCGCAAACCCTCAGTAGTACCCATCGCACATTCGCAATGCGCGACCTTTCCAATTCCACTGGCGTAAATGCCCGTCCATTTCTTGTATCACCACACTTCCCTCGCACACGAATTTTATATGTCCCCCTGCCCCCTGCCCCCAGTGTTTTTTTTTTAAGTAATATATTACTTTTTAGGAATAAATAGCCTTTTTGGCCTTTGGAAATAAGGAACAAAGTGAGGCCGATCCGTACATTTTCATTCCTTCAGCCAAAAACGTCCATTGCTGCCAGATTGCTCCGTAGTGTGCAGAATTTAGTATTATCGATCATAAAATAGATATGAGGGCCAACTCCAGCAAGGTGCCACCGATGCTGGACAGCGCCTTGCTGGACGAGCAGGCGAACTTGTTCGCCTCCAGCATGAATCAGCTCGCCGTGCAGCAGCGCCTCAGGCGGGCGCGAGAGCAGACCGAGCGGCAGAGGCAGCAGGCGGCAGCAGTGGACCCAGATGCGCCCACATCCAAGCGTGAGCACCGGGTGCTGCTCGATGACACACCCACAGCACGGGTGTGGCAGGCCATCAGCAACTGTGCGGTCCTCGCCGGCGGCTTAACGGAGTATTCGGCTTTGGCCCAGCTGGTGTTAGTGATGGTGCCAGGGTCGGTGGAGGATGAGCGGCGGTTCTCGGCCATGGGGTACTTGCAGGACCCCACCCGCAACCGCCTGGATGAGCACCTAGCATTGTGTGTGCGGATGTTTACCCAGGACCTGTTCGACCTGGGCACGTTCCCGTTCCGTGACGCACTGAGGAAGTGGCTGGACAGCAGCAGCAGGGGCCGGTACATGATGAACCGGTAGAGTCCTAGTGTGCTGTGGTTTGCAGTGGCAGGTGACGGCCTTTGATTTGCTATGCGGTTGCTTGCTTTGGGCCTTTGCTTGGTCGGATTTACTTTTTGTTCACAAACAGTGCCAGAACTATCTATGCATGTGCATGAAGCGT